TCTAAGCTACTAGAATTACTAGCTAGCAATGTTATTTCTCTACAGCAAAAGTTGCATTGTCGTCTACAAAGTTTGTACTTCAAACTTTATTTAAGTATCACACACATGTTCTATAGTATTTTTACTTAATAAAAATTGATTTTCAACCCTACTTGATATACATGAGCTATTGAATCAACTTTCATTTAACATTTTTATTGATCATTTTAAGTTACAAGAAATTTATCTACACAGTCTATCACATGCTTTATCACATAAACATGATGCTCATGACATGTTTTAGTAGTTGGTTTAAGACATAACACCGAGGGTGTTACAGCTACGGACCTAACTAGCTAGCGCGTGAGCATCAAGAGGCTACCATGGGCCAGGACGAGGTGACGGTTGGAGTGGAGGATGGCGGAGGAGGGGTGGCCACGTGCGGCCGAGCCGTGAGGCGGCGCACCGCAATGGCGTGGTCGCGTCAGCGGTGCGAGGGAGGCGGTAGCGGTTCCGCTGACGTGCGCAAGGTGGAGAGGGAGGCGAGGCGAAGTTAGTGGTGCAGGTGAATTGGATTGGGGCGGACGGTAGGCGACTGCCCTCGTCCACGACCGAACGTGGCCTTATCGGCACGTCGGCGGGAAAAGCGCCAAATTGGAGCTTGGCTGGGCTTGATTCAAGGCGGGATGGGGTCGAATGGCTAAGGGGGTTAATGGCGGAGCTAGGGCGCGATGAATCGGGCGATGGTGACCTTTCCCTGATGGGTTTAATGAACGGCGTCGTGTCGGGTAAAAACAACAAGGAGGGGAGGGAGGTCAGCCTACGCTCAGCGCGACGTAGTTAAAGACGATGGCTGTTGGGGGTGTGGCTGTCACGGCAGCTTGGGCGCACGTGGGAACACCGCGGCTGTGAGCATGGCCATGGGTCGGGCAGCGAGTGTTCCATGGGCGCCGCGCGACCATGGCAACACCAACGGACAAGGCCTGGCAGCGGCGCAGAGCTACAGGGGCGCGGACGCGATGGCGAAGCGACGGCGGTGGCAGCCGAGACAAGCTTACGTGCGTGTAGGCGAGAGGGGCGGCAGCGGTGGCAGCAGCGCGATAGCCAGGTGGGGCAGCAACGCGACGACCAACAGTTGTAGGGCGATGACAGCGGCCTGCTGGGGCCGGCCACGGCCAGACAGGCCGACCGGGCTCGGCACCACGGCGCGCGGGACGCGGCCAGCCGCGCGAGGTGACCGTGCGCATAGGCCAGGCATATGACGTGCACGAATTTTAAAGCGCGTCTAAAAACTAACCCAACACAGTTGAAGCTAAACTACCTCGACCATGCTAAAGGGGATAAATCAGTTTACCATAAGGAGCAAAAACACAACATTGTCCTTTAGCTAGATTTTTCTGAATTAATTCACCAACATTGCATTGTCACACTGTTTTCAGACGAATTTGCTGTCTTGGGCTGAATTTGATTTCAAGTTCCATTTCTAAGCTATTAGAAATACTAGCTAGCAATATTATTTTTCTAAAACAAGAGTTGCATTGTCCTCTACAAAGTTTATACTTCAAACTTTATTTAGGGTCACATAGATGTTCTATAATATTTTTGCTCAATAAAAATTGGTTTCCAATTCTACTTGATATACATGAGCTATTGAATCAACTTTCATTTAACATTTTTATTAGTCATTTTAGATTACAAGAAATTGATCTATACACTTTATCACATGCTTTATCACATAAACATAATGCTCATGACATGGTTTAGTGGATTGTTTAGGGTGTAACACCGAGGGTGTTACAACTCCCCTGCATGCGACTCCCGTGCGGGCGAGGAGGAAGGAAGGGGGAGGCGCATAGGGGAGGGGAGGGTGGCGGGGGGGGGGGGGAGGCGCCGGCGCCACCGGCAGTAGCGGCTGGGCAGGCTCCAAGGATAGGGTTGGAAAAGCCCCACCTTTGCGAATGTCGTCCCACGAATAACTAAATTTTTCCCAAACTTTTTCTTGCAACGATGAGTTCAATGAAAAGAGTAACCTCGAGACTTTGTGCTGCTGCATTATTCTCCATCAGGTCAATAAACTGCTCAGAAGACATAGAGTACGGACATATATCTTCCTGAGGCAACAGGGAGCGCAGGTCATGAGTAAAGAACAAGTGTGCAACGCTCGTGCAATGCAGATAGGTAGTAAACGAAAACAAGAGCTAGCTTCAGGGAAGAACCAAGCCAAGTACGCTACCTGGATTGATCAAAAGGACGAAAACAAGAGCTAGCTTCAGGGAAGAACCAAGCCAAGTACGCTACCTGGATTGATCAAAAGGCCATAGCCGATCGAGCAGCGTATGAACTGAGCAAGCAATGCACAGGTTCCCTTCTTCTTTATATAGTGTGCGGAGTATATTTCTCTTGATATGAGAGCTTTCAGCTACAGGTTCCCGCGATTACCCAAGGAGGTGGAGGGTTGGCATTTGCGCTTGCGCGTTCAAATGATCCACAGAAAAACAAGGGAACTTTAACTACACATTTGACTCAGAATAACTCCCGCTCGTTAATCGAGGCTCGAAGGGCTCCTTTTTTTTGATGCAACGAAGGGCTCATTTGGATGCTCCACTCTCTCTCTCTCTCTCTCTTCTTTTTTCTTTTTTCTTTTTTGCGAATTTGGATGCTCCATTCTGGTAAGGAAGACCGGTGCAGACGCCCAGACTCCAAACGGGAAGAGGAAGGAGCAGGATTCGCGGTCATGTCCTCATGGTCAGCTGATGGGCTGTGCAGCGGGCCTTAACTGGGCTGCACCGAGCGCCTGTGCTGTGCAGCGCAGCCCAAACAGCCACGTTAATCAACGGGATTTGTCCGTACACTGACTGAGAACGTGAGAACACTGCATGATGCGATCTTGATTCTTGAGATAGTACTGTACAGACCATGATGCGATCTTGATCCATGTGCTTGGTGCATCGTGCAGTCTGTCTCAAAACTCCGGAGAAATTTGCTCAGCTGCCTTAAGCCAAGAGTATGAAGCATAAAGACTGGAAACAAATACTCCACTGCTTGCAGTAGGTTAACAAAAACCACATCGCTAGAGAGGCAGTCTACTAGAAACCAACACGAACTGGGCAACCAACATTTCTATGCCCCCTACAATATGCCTCTTCAGTTAGCTACATAGAACTCTAATTAATTAGTTATTAATGATGTTTTTTGTGTTTTCCCCTCTTCTCATATCAATATTTAACATCATCTTGTACAATTGAGAATTAGACTTTCGATTATTTTCTCCATCTCTTTTGTTCCTTCTATTACTGCCTACCAAATTTCTACTTCATCCCTACATTACACTCTCTAATTTAGTCTGTTCGCTTGAGCTTATTCAGTACTAGTTTTCAGCCATGTAACAGTGTTTTTCTCTCACAATATTTCAACATAAGCATCAGCATAAGCCAAATTTGGTAAGGTGTGAAAAAACTGGTGTGAGCTATAAGCTGCCGCTACAAATTATGTGTTGTGAAAAGCTAAAAGCCAAAACCAGGGTTTAAGGTCTTGCGAGAATTATATTACGCAAAAGTTTGCTGCTTCTAAGGCCAGCCGAACACACATTCAAAAAAAGCAGCTTTAGATTCCACCCATTTACCCATTTAGTTGGTGTTCTACTTTTTTTTCGGCAGAATCACTTTCAAGAAGCTAAACCAAACACAATCTTTAAATAGTTGTGGCATACTATGTGTTATGTAAATTTTGTAGAACCACTCGATGCACATTTAGCTAAAAGAAACCAACTGCATTAGAGAACCCTTCAACATACACACCCCAACTCTTCAAAGTCAAAACTCATCCTAGCATTGATGTAGCTCCCGAGAATTTGAATACGCCTCGTCTCTGTATGAATACTACTACTAGTCAGCTGCCAGGCAGTTTCAGTTGTGTCTGACGAGAAGGCTTGGGTATCCAGTGGTAACTTTTGCATCCCCTATCCAAGAATCCGGCCTCCTCATTTTACAAAGTTGTTATGCGCTCACACAAAAATATACAGATAATGAGATAATCATGTCAATGTGTTCAAGTAGAAATCTTCAGTGATGTGTGCTGTTTTGTGTGATGCCTGCTTCAGTGGCAAAATATACTTGGCATGTGAGAGGGTCAGGGAAGGAACTATGTGAGGGTCTGTCACGTCTAGCAGTGTCTAAGGTAGAAGTTGCAGTATTTGAACAGCATTTCAATTATCTTCCTGGTCTGAAACAAAAATATGACCTTACCAGGCCCTTCGAGACTGCAGCTGAGAAGACCAAGGCTACGGAATCCATGTCCAGAGCCTGAATCTTTTCTGTTGGTGTCGCAATAGAGCTATATTAGCATCGATATAAAATGTCAGATAGATGAGCAGCAAACAGCTTCAGGACCAGCCTGAGGTCCCAGAGGAAGCAGGACTACCCCCAGACCCCAGTAGAGGATGCCCATTAATTCAACGATATGTTCATTGAGTTGAAACACTATTGCTTGCATTGAACTCCTCCAAGTTTTTCTACTATTTATATGCGGCACATTTACAGCTGCTGCTAGTAGTAATAGAGGTAAATTAACCACTTTCTACCGAAAGGGTAGTAGTAATATATATAGCAAAGCAACAGCCAAACTATACAGTTGTTTCTCCTATATATCTTCCCACTTTGACCCTTCTCCCTATCACTTGAAATCTTGAATGCTTGATGATGATGCCATTGCTTCATTCCCCTTCGCTCATACTCCCTCCGTTCCAACTTACAAGTCACTTTGAATTTTTTTGTACATCCATTTTGTTATGTATTTAGACATATGTTAGATCTAAATGCATAGCAAAGTAGATGTACCAAAAAAGTCAAAGCGACTTATAATTTGAAACGGAGGGAGTATAAAGCTACACTGCCTGGTAGATAAGTCTCTCAACTGCTGCAGTTCAAACCCCACAAAGAAAATGAGAGCTGTCTTACATCTTTTCTATCCAGAGTGAACATGCTTTCGAGGTCTGCAGGTCATGTACAGTGTGCATCAGGGCTTCAGCAAGAGTGCTGCTGATTCTTGCTTCCAGAGCAGGTGCAATTAGCTTGGCTCTCCTTTAGCACCTTCAATGAACAGATAGCAGGAAGGAACTCTCAAGCTCTGTTTCAGAGTGTGTATTTCAGATAAGTCTAACAGAACACTATAGGTAACTTTCTCCTTTCAGTTAAAGGGCAACAAATCAATATAGCTTGGTTTAGACCTTACTGCCCAGGTCTTTCTTATTAAGATACCGACAAGTGCTCATTTGCTGGATTGCTTACCTTAACCTGCTTCTGGAGATCCTTGATGTAGTCGACAGCCAAATCCAGCATGTCAGATGTGTTGGTTTGCTGCAGGAAATGGAAGTGTAGGTTGCAGACAAGTCAATTATGGAGTGGTCCTCACATAGAAACTTTGCTAACCACACACACAATGTCCATGTCCTATTGCCTATTGGGTTGCCATGGCTACAGAATGTGGAGTACCTTGTCCATGTTTGGAACTAGTTCTTGCAGCTTTCGGATTCGCTCACTGATCTTTGTTCTCCTCACCTGGGCACCACAGATCAGCACATCAGCCATTTGCTCAGCTGCAGACTCCAAACCTAAGGAATTCTATGCAAGAAAACGGATTCACTGACCCTCTCGGCGATGCTGCGTGGATGAGTGGCGCATCCCCGCTTGGCACGGATCTTACAAGGCACAGCGTCCTGGAACTGGAGGAGTTTCTCAATAGTTGCCATCTCCGATGCCGTCTTGGGCAGGCTGAACTGGTGCGTGAGGCCGCTCTGCACTGATGGCATCGTCAGTTCGCCACATAGATGTACTACAAGAAATGGAAAGTGCTGATAGAGTAACCCCCGTACCTGGCCAGGCTCCGAAGAGTCCCGGGGACGTTTCATGCTAGACAAATTGTCTGACATGAGCGCCGATGACTCCTCCCACCCAGAACCCATTGGGTACCCAGGGATGTACCCCCTGCCGCCACCGGCAGCCTCTGGGCTGCTCCCTCCAACCTCCTCGCTGTCCATCTCTGAGATCTGGGACATCAATGACCCCTGCCGTGACGAGAAGCTCAGTTGCCCCTTTAGCCTGCTACCGCTACCAGCGAGGGAGTCCGCGGTGGCCATGCCCGCCCTCAGCATGGCCCCGTATCCTGAATTGAGCAAAGTAGCGTAGGTGGGACACGCTCAGTGTCAGTTCCAGAAATAGAAATGTTTCCAAGAAGAAAAACGCTCCAAGAACCGCAATAATTGCTGCCAAGGAAGCAAGCAGGGAATGGTAACTACGGTCGTACGAAATGAAGGCTGAATTAAGGAGAGACCAACCGTTGTCCATGTTCCAATGATCGAGGAATCCGGCGGGGGAGCTGCTCTGCCGAATCAGGTTGCTAGCGTTGGCGCTGGCGCCGCCGGTGCCGACAGCGGCCGCGGTTTCTATGCCTGAGCTCACGGTGCGGTAGAGGACGGACTTGGCGCCCACCATCTCCTGCTGCTGCTGCTGGGAGGCCATGTCGGCTTCACTCGGGAAGTGGACCGCGGCGGGGGCAGCCGGCGGCGGCGGCGGCGGCGACGGCTTGTCGTCCCGGATGTGGTGGTCGGCAAGGAACCTTGAGAAGACGTTGTCGGCGGCGGCGGCGGCGTCGGGGACTGGCGGCGCGGGGCGCGGAAGGGAGGAAGTCCTCGCAGAGGTCGCTGAGCACCGTGCTGGGCGCCGATCTGTACCTCAGCAGCCCGGACAAGGCCATGGGCGGCGGCTGCACCGGGAGGTTGAGGTCCTTGGACACCGGCGAGCCGTACATCAGCTCGCCCGGCAGGTTCAGATCCTTCACAAGAACAAAAAGAGAAGGGGAAAAAAACAATTTTGACCATCTGTTCACATAAGCATAGCATCGAACAACCTGAAGACTTAAGCAAACAGCACTCCGTCTTCCTCATCTAGAGATTGAACCAAAATTCGTGCAACGGAAGAGCTCCTGGATCATGGAGACGGCATGATGAGCATACCTAATTTCAGCTCAGATCAGGGAGCTAGCTAGCCCCTCCTGGAGTCCGCGGGCGGGATCCACCTGGGGGCGGCAGAAGGTGTCGGCGGGGATTTGAGGAGGCACCGCCGCCCTCCTTAGCACGAGGCGAGGCGGAGGGGACGGGGTTAGCAGGGACGGCGGCGCGGGGCTGGGGAGCGACGGCACGGGGCGGATAGGAGCGGCGGCGTGGTTCCCGTGGCTGGTCGGGCGGTGCGCGGTGGGGGCGGGTGGAGAAAGGGGCTGCGCCGCTGCTGCGCACGATAAATAGTGCGCGTGCGCCGCTGCGCTCGCTTTGGCTCTGGCTTGGGTGATCTGCAGCTGCTCGTCAACCACGATTGGGAGGGGATGCCGATGCCGATGCCGATGCCGATGCGATGTGTCTCCGCCCGCGCCCGGGTCCGGGACGCTCGTGGCGTGCGGCACTGCGGCTGTTGCAGTCGTCCAAACGGCGTTGGGTCTCACGGCCGGGCGACGGGGCCATGGGGGTGTAAGCGGTGGCTGCCAAAAAAATGTTCCTTTTTAGGTCTTGTTCGGCGAGGCTTCTATCCGGCTACCGGAGCACTGTAGCGAACTGGAGAGCCTCAGGAGTCAGGAGTACATCTTTGGGGTGCTCGTGCTCTTCTTGTGTTCTAGGTCAATTTGACTGAAGCCTGATTTGAAGAAAAAAAAATGAAGCCAGATCCATTTCTATGGAGCTATAGAGCTAAAGTCCAGTCAAACAAGACCCAAACCACCGTGTAGTTAACCCAGACATATTCATAAGATATTCACAAATAGTTTAAGATTTGCTGTATTTTAAAATTTATTGTTCTTGTGCTTATATTTTCTCCAGCAGCAACACTCCGACGAACTCCATGAGTAGAGATGTCAACAAAAAAAAACATCGGGAATCACGTCCCCGCCTCCGTTCGTGAGGGGCGAGAATTTCTCCACCTGCAAACGCCACCGCAGACCATTTCTTCCCTATCCTCGACTCAATGTAAGCCCAAGCTAAACATCCAACAGAACAACAAAGTCATCAATCCATCATCCAAAGATATTGAATTATCAATAGCCCATCATCTTTATGAAAATAGCAAAGGCACGCGACTATCATTCACAACCACCACTAGATTGCATAAGCACAAGGCACAGATCAGTAATTCATCGCTCTTCCAACTTCAGAATCACACACTCGATGTGGTGGCAGTAGGAAGCACATGCACATCAAGTGGTGCAACAAGCACACCGGTGGATACGGATCCAACAATGACCGCAATGCCCATACCATGCAGTAGCCAATCGGAGTCCGAGGTGGCATCCCTTCATGCGAACCGTCAGACGTGGGTTAGCAGAGGTACACGGCGAACTCGAGTACTAGAGGTCTATGGCTAGGGAGCAAAAAAAGTACAGACTAGGGATTGAGGTTATTCTGATAGTGATAAGAAAGATGAGGACAATCTGATACAACATTCAAGAATAAGGAAGATGGATCCATGCCGACGTGGACTTGGAGGAGGCGTCTGAACACCGGATCTAAAAGCCCCAGACCTCTGGTGTACTTGTGTCCTATGGTGGCAGCGGGGCCATCTACTCGGGCTCGATGGCGACCTGTGCACTAGGGGCGAGCGTGAGCGTGACTTGCACTCGATGGTCACCGGCGGTCGGCCTGCTCAAGCCACCAAGACAACAAACTCGATGTAGTAGTTGGCGGTATATATCACTGCCTCACTGATGGCGGCTGCTGACCGTGATGCGTCAATGTAGGAAGAAAATGAGAAGGAGAATACATTAGAGATTAGGGTTTAGTTTGCTATTTTTGTGGTGCTATATATTGGGTCTTTGTGGACTTTTAATATGTCAGGGCCCTAGCTAATTCAGAGTAAGAGGATAGGTGTGCAGGAATGATGGCTATTTTTTTTCTTTATTTCAATCATTAGGGATGACTAAATTAGTCCTATGCCACCTTACGTCCCGCCTCCGCTCATGAGGGGCGAGAATTTCCCACCAGCCTACAATTCTCCTCAATCCTCAATCTAAATGGCAACAATACAAACATCAAAAAACAACAATAGCCATCATCGTATGTACTAGAGGAAATTTTTGCGTAGAATTGAGGATCGGTTCTATTGTCACCTGTGTCCATGAGCTTGGGCTAGTTTTAGACGATTCATCAATCCATCATCCAAAGATATTGAATTCGGAATATAGAAAAGTTTTGCTGACATTCACAACCACCCATGACCGAGGAGGCTGCTACTAGTGCACATCAAGTGGTGCAACAAGCACACCGGTGGATGAGCAATGCCATACCATGTAGTAGCCAATCGAGTCCGGTGGCATCCTTGTTCTTTAGTACTAGAGGTCTATGGCTAGGGAGCAAACATTAAGGAAGATGAGGACAATCCGATACAACATTCAAGAATAAGGAAGATGGATCTATTATGGACGTGGACTTGGAGGAGATTCAACACACGGATCTAAACCCCTGGACCTCCGGTGTACTTGTGTCCTATGGTGGCAGCGGGACCATCTATCAGCATGTCGTGACTTGCAGATGATTTTTTAAGGCTTCTTCGATGTAATAAATCAGATCATGTGTGAGTTTAAGAAATGAGAAGGAGAATACATTAAACCAAAGTTTGCTAGCGGCGGTTGTTCTAACGGTGGGTCTAGCGAGGAAGTGAACGAAGTCTAGTCTAGATGAAAAGGAAAAATATATATAACCAGGTCCTTGACATCCTCTGCGCTGGGGACCGATACGATGGAGAAAGACCGCAAGGAAGCAGATTCAAGTTGCAGTTCTTTTGTTGCGACGGTGAAAGGAAGCGGAATCTGAGGTATAACCAGGTCCTTGACGTGCTGCTTGGAGAAAGACTGGAAGGAAGCAGATTCAAGTTGCAGTTCTTTTGTTGTGACGGTGAAAGGAAGCGGAATCTGAGGTATCCGTGTGCTGCTTACCCCCCGGCGCGTTTCTTTCGCTCTCCACCTCCTCCATACGTTTTTCTTTCATTCTTTGAAGTGAAGTGAGCTCCATACGGTTTTGTTTCCCAAGTCCTGCTTCTGCAGTACTGTGCTCCGGCCTGCGGGTACGTATACGACCGTCCTGCGCCGGATATGCAACGGATGTACTACTCGCGAGTACCTAGGAATAGACTCCGTCTGTGCACGATATCAGCCGGTGCCTAGTTTCGTTGGATTGGATGAGAGGAGCCAGCCATCATTGTCAGGTGGTGTCGCCGACTGGTGAGGGCAAGGCCCCAGATACCTCTCGCTCTTCTCAACCAGTCCTGAAACTGAAGGTACGACTTTCTGTGAGAAGTCGAACCCTATTGAAATTGCATGATACAGTATGAAAGGAAGAGTCAAAGTCAACCCATGCGATTTGTCAATCCCTTGAATATTGGTACCACAGCTCTGCCGGTCAAGTCAACGCCGTCGGCAGGGGCGCACCGCGCACGACACACGGCACAGGACGATGCATGCGCTGTTGGTCTCGTTGGGGACGTCTTGCGGTGTCGATGCTATTCGGGGCAGTCAGTCGGCACGCGCCCCCTGTTTCCCTGCATCTATGGACTCTGGTTTCCTGCCCAAGAGGCCTGCATCTACGTGCCCAGGCCGCTGGCGGCTGGCTGCTCCGCCCGCCGTGCAGGTTCTCGCGGGCGAGCACACCGAGAGGGATATGATCCGTTTCGTCTTGGAGACGGGGGAGACGGCGATCGAGTCCGCACGCACACGGTACGAGGACCACGCACGGCGGCGGTTCCGATTCATTTAAACAAGCAGGAGGCAGAATGAAAAAGATTGTCAGTTTTTTTTTTCTATGCACGTGAAATGGTCTGGGAGTGGTTTCGATAATTCGTTTCTTGCCTCTCCTCTACGGTAGCAATCGGATTTTACTGATTTTTCTCAGCAATGGCTTTATTATTATAAAAAGATTTTGAGCCAATGTAGAAACATTTCCTGACGAAGCTAGGCGCCTACCATAAGGACGACTCAGATTGTCATGATCCACAATAAAAACGTGTGGATACCTAATGCTCTGATACTTGCTAATGTCACTATTTATACCCAATGCATGGTTTTAACTTCTAATTTCATACTCACTTTGGTCTTGAAGGTTTAGAGCTTCTTTAGGACCAGGAATTTAACATAAATCGTATAATAATTTTGCATGAGTCGATTCATTTTTATTGGAAGAACTCATTAAAGGAGAGGAGGATCTCATGTTCCAACGAGGGCCTTAGAATTTATCCTCAATTATAAGTTATTTTGAATTGCTCAACTCCATCCATGTATGTCTGTCTTTTAAACTTCATCCACACGTGCCTTTTAAACACCATTTTGCGTAAAAATGAATCTTATAACCGAAATCAATGCTCCACTAATGACCTCTTCCTTCCCAAGTCACAAGCTTTTGCAGGCAGGGGTGGATCCAGCTAGCGTGGGGGCTCAAACACCTCCTAGGCACTGAAGCTCCATAGACTTAATAGAGAGGGGGGGAGAG